CTCAATTAAAAAGTGGAGCCGGCTCTACTTGGTAGTGGAGGCGGCTCCACTTTGTGTGGAGCCGGCTCCTTCAATAGGTTTCAGTTTTTCGCCTTTTCAGTGATGGTTTTGGCTACGGATTTCAGAATTTGGTGTTTTCAGATGCTATTAGGAGCTATGCAGGGATGTTTCAGTAGCATCTAAGTCCTATTAGAAATTCTGAAGGTGTGATGAAACATAATAAATTACAAAGAAATCGGTAGATTTAAGCCGTTACAGTTTCAGGTGAACTTGTGGACTGTTCTTGGAGGCAGAGGGTTTTAAGTGCATAACCCTATAAGTTGCAATTTATCTGGGAATGGTAATATTGTTAAATCATCTTTCTGTAATTTAATTTAAGTTAAGTTTATTAGATTACAGAATGATTATATATATTCATAAGTGACAGTAAGACACTTTTAAGGAAGTTTACATGGTTGAAATTTTGTAAATAATTCAAGTTGATTAATTTTAAATTAGCAACTGAATTAGGAGTTTGATATGTAAATCATATATCAGTGGTATGGGGATTAAGCCTATTAACTAATATAAATTCAGTTAATACTTAATAAGGAACTAGTTGATGTTTCCAAGAATTTGTTTATGTCAACTTGTGGGATGTTGTGGAGTAATTACAAGTAAGCATGTATATACTATTGTTATTATTATTATGCTTATTGTGAGTTACAGGATGATTATATTTCTTCTCTGCACTTAAAATTTTTCAGAGAACCAGGTACTGGATGTATTGAACAAGCATGCTAATTAAACATTCTGGTTATGCTTATGATTGGATATGTTGATATTGATATGTTATGCTATCATATATATATTATCAATACTGGATGGATGGTTTGTATGCACCGGTATGGGACGGTGTCATACTAGGGGGATTAGCTCAAAAAAATGCTAAGTCCTACCTACTCTGGATTAAGGGACGGATTAACTACAAAAGTTAAGTCCTACCTATATTTTGTGTCAGATCAATAAATAATTGAGTGGCACTTTGGTTTGGAATGGAATTTAAATATATTTTTATGATGCCACGATATGAGCTTGAGTCTCAGAGTCGTTGGTTAGGGAGCGTATATGCATTAGGATGCATAGCTGGCTATGATGGTTGGATGTGTACCCTGCTAGGACTAGGTAGTCATGTGCCTACTAGTCAGGTTGAGGCGGGCCTGTAGTCCAGTGAGAGTCCTGTAGTGTGATTGGTTAGGATGTACATGCGTATCAGGTCTCTGCTTGGGTAGTAGTAGTATAGAACTTGCATGTGGGCCTGACCCACTCATCATTTTTCAGGTATCGGATATTTCCAGTCCAGAGCTTGTTCGTGCTGAGCAGAGACGATCTTCCATTCTATCGACGACGTAGGGCTTCTTCCCAAATATTAGATTTGGATTTTATTTTCAGTTTTTACTTTCATTCAGATTTGGGATTTTTATTAGGGGTCCACTAGAGATGGATTCCCGAGTTGTTAAACTGATGGAGTTTGGGATTATCAGATTCTAAGTATTTAATTATAAAGGATTTTACTTTTAGTTTCTTCTAGCTTAAACTTTATTTATTAAATTCATTTTGTCATCTGTGTTCGATTAAATATTAATTGTTTGATATCCTTCGGATCTGTGCTCGGACTTGATCACCCGTGGCTCTAGAATCGAGGGGTATCACAATAAGTTGAAGCCAGGAACCATCAACACCTTCAAAGAATTGAGTAAGCAGTTTGTGAGCCACTTCATTGCAGGTCAGAGGCATAGGAGGCCCGCTACCTACCTGTTTACCGTGGATCAACAAAAGGAAGAGTCGATTCGGGAATACATCACCCGATTCAACGCAGAGATGTTGCAGGTAGAAGAGGTGGACGACAAGGTAGCTTTGACCGCTTTTATAGGAGGACTCCAAACCTCCAGATTCTTGTTCTCCTTATCAAAAGAACCTCCCACCAGCATGATAGAGTTGCTGGTCAGAGCACAAAAACACATCAACGCTGAAGACACCATGAGTGCACGGAAGGAAGGAGAGGATAAGAAGAGGCCAGCCCCTCTCGCCAAGGATGAAAATAATACCAAATATAAGAAATCGTTCTTCAGCCAGAGCGACAGCACATATCATGAGAAGGACTCAGATGAGTATACCGACTAGAAATTGTCTCACGGCTGGAATTAGCCTTATTAAGTCATTCACAATAAAAATTGGGGGCATCTTAGTTAATCATTTTAAATAGAGAGTAGCTTCATCACGTAATATTTTGTTTTTAATAAGCCTTGAGGCAATGATGGTCTTTAATAAAATTCCTTTTAGTTTATACGTGCAGTATCCCTGTACTATAAGGGATAGTAAATGAGTGTCCTGTATTACAAGGACCCGGGCTGAGTGAATCCCGTAATCAGTATCCCCGTACTATAAGGGATAGTAAATGAGTGTCCTATATTACAAGGACCCGAGCTGAGTGAATCCCGTAATCCGTATCCCCGTACTATAAGGAATAGTAAATGAGTGTCATGTATTACAAGGACCCGGGCTGAGTGAATCCCGTAATCCGTATCCCCGTACTATAAGGGAATAGTAAATGAGTGTCCTGTATTATAAGGACCCGGGTTGAATGAATCCCGTCATCCATATCCCCGGACTATAGGGGATAAGTATCATGTATTATCAGGACCCGGGCTAAATGAATCCCGTAATCCATATTCCTGTAATATAAGGGATAATAAATGAATGTCCTGTACTACAAGGACTTGGGTTGGATGAATCCCGTAATTAATATCCCCTTACAATAAGGGATAATAAATAAAAATCCTTTATTAAAGAGGTGAGCTGAGTAAAACTCGTAAAGTTCAATTCCCTTATTAAATGAGTGAAATTCATACAATTTATTCTCTTATCAAAGGAAGAGTACTGTTCCCTCGGGTGCCAAAAAAAAAAAAACATTCATGAACAGTACCCTCGGGTGCCAAAAAAAAATCCTGAGTTACTATTCACGTGAATAGTGCCCGCGGGTACTGTTCAAAGGGGTATTAAATATATATATATATATATATATATATTACATTCCCAAAGCTAGATGTGCAAGCTTGGGAATGGGGGACAACTGATAGGGAAAAATATAAACCTACCTTACCCTCGATAAGATTGATTAGATTTCATTATCAAGGATAATGAAATCTAACGTGGTTCAACAGGTAAGAATAATCCTATTATAACTGGAGGAGGTCAAAAGGATTAAATCATATCCCCGACAAATCTTGCAACAAATCTCATATGATTTCGCACAAGCGGAAGATAAGATCAAGCATCGACATCGGCGGAACGATTTTGATTCCAATCGACAGCCATAAATAGAGCACCAAGCCATTAAAGAAGGTACGATGTAAAAACTATTATTAATCCCTGCCTTCTTTTTAGACCTCCGTGACTAATTTGATCGTCAAAGAGCTCTTGGCAGGCACCACACCGGTGCCATCAAGGTTCATCGATCTTCTCCTCTCTTCCTTGCAGGAAAACGGTATCGTATCGGACTGCGCGAATTTCAGCCTCAACAACGTTAAATCTTTCATATTAAATATACTAATTAGTATATCATTAATTTTTTAGGTCATACAATGACTTACGCATCACATTTATGTTATTGTCTCGGTACTAGCTTTAATCCATTTAAGGACTTATAAGCTTGCACACTTAACTCTTAATCTAGAACAATGAACTTGTCCCATTAAATATTTTTTTCACAAGAAACAAGATACACTGTTGTTATAACCAATATTATAAATGATTTTTTGTCATATCAAAATCTCTTAGGATTAAGAACTTCCACATTTATAAGTATTTCTTATCTGATAAGGTAACTCGTAGCAAATTTCATCTATGGACAATATCCTCCCACAACATTGAGATAATCTTGAGATTTTATTTATGATGTATTTATCATGGTTTTCTAACTCTTGAAATACCATATACTAAATACTTAACCTTATCAATCTTTCCAAGGTTCTATATATTTGTTTCTCAGCAAACATGTATAACAGTATCTAGTTCATATGTATTCACTTTATCTTTAGCTTGTTAACAAGTTATAGATGTTACTGTAAATTAATACTCGAGATATTAATTATAATGGGCTCTAATTAATATTTACTTCTATATCTCTCGTATTTATGAATTGAGATATCTATGTTTAGGTTTATGTTAAGTCAGCCATATTAACATGTCCTAACCTTCCATGTGTCACACATCACATAACTTAATCATTTTAGCAAATAATTCTCTTATTATTTAAGCTTTGGATACAATCACCACAGAGTGAGCACTCACTTCTCAGCTATCACTACTAATTAAAAGTGAGTCCTTAGTTATACTACTAGTTTAGATTAAGTACAATTTTCTCGTTAATCACTACTAACTTATATTGAACATCCACTTCTTAGTTATCATTCTTAGCTTGAAGTCATGTTAGTTCAATTATCATTGCTATTTTATTTCAATTTAATTTTAATACACCCTTTCATTGACTTGGTAGTAGAAGAATTTGTGTTTGAAAATTTTTTTTTCAAAAGTTACTACTTTACAAGTAATATTTTCCCTCTTAGAGAAGCAGATATGATGTAATCGTCGCTATCGGGTAACCAATGTAAGGAGATAGTAGGGGCATCTGTAGACTTGTCAATGGATTGGATTCTGATCCGAATCCGATCCGATTAGTCGGATATGGATTGAACAAAAAATCCGATAACCCGTTTATGATCCAAGTCCGATAACCCGTTTGCTTAACAAATTAGATATGGATTTTACCGATCCGATCCGATAATAATCCAATCCGAATTAAAATTATATATATATATATATATATATATAAGAGTCCAACCCAAACCCATCTCCAAGCCCATATATATATATGTATATGAGTCCAGCCCAAACCCATCTCTAAGCCCACTTCTTATTCCCAAACTCACTTATTATCTCCAAGCCCATTCCTTCTTTAGTCAATCTAAACCCTAACTCACAACAACATTATCTCATATATGTTCTCTCACCCTTGCTGCAAAACAGCCATTTCCCCAAACACTCCCACAGTCCCACGTAGCAGAGCTGCAACACAATCAGAAACCAATCGATCGGCGACCGCTGCAAAATATTACTCCTCTTAGGTTAGTGTTCTTCCTTTCTTTCTCATCCGATCTCACTTCTCTCCTCTTCATATTGGCATGATAGGTTTTTTTTTTTTTTTTTTTTTTTTTAAAAGTAAACTGAAGATTATAACTTGACCGTCACTGATATGGGGATGACTTGTGGCTAGGGGTGAAAGGCCAACCAAGATTGGGAGTTCATGATTCAATTCAGGTCCAAGTATTTTTCCTTATTTCTTTGTCATTTTTGGAGTTTTTCCAGTTTGATTCCTTCCTTTGGGTCTCTTCATAGTTTATGAAGAACCTATTAAACGTTATGTTAAGTGTTAATGGTCTGAAATTATATATCCTCTGTTGTAGAATTCTGAAATCTGAATTGGCCAGTACTTTTTTTATTTTTTATTTTTTATTTTTATATAAAGCATGCTTGGTGGACACAGACATAATTTAAGCTCATCAATACTAAGTATTAGGATTCATATTGATTAATACTGGAATAGAAATGATTGTTGATTCTCTCTTTCCATGATCTCGCCTTTCATTCATTTTGGGACATTAAATTACAAGAAAATTGTTTGTTGATTTGTGCAACTGTGCGGTTACATTATCGGATCGGATATCCGATAATTAAACAAATCGGATACGGATTGACTAAGTAAAAATCCGTCGGATTATTGGACCGGATCGGATCACTCATTATGCTTATCGGATTCAGATCGGATTGACCATGATCCGGTCCAAATCTGATCCGTTGACAGGTCTAAACATCTGCCTTTGTTTTTTTTGTTAAAAGGTTGGATTGCGACTGTGGCATGGAATGAGAAATTAGGCCCATTCTCATTTTTATATCCATTTTTTGGGCCTCAAGTATGTGGGCCTTTCTTATTTAAAAACCCCAACTATCAATAAAGTGAACCAAGCCTTAAGAACAAGATGCCCAACAAAGATTTATAGCAGTGATTCTGATACGATTCTATTCAGTTTAGGAACGATTTATTAACGAGTTGACTTGTTTTGAGTTCTTCGAATTGTAAAATCGTGCTATTCTATGATCTTAGGTTGCAATTTTGATAACCTTGATATATATATATATATATATATATACACACAATTGTCTCATCATTAGAAAAAAATGAACTCAGCAAAACTACTCTCATTTGTTACTACTAAAGAGACAAACTAGCAAAACCACAGAGACGGTGGTAAAATCTCTCTCCATTACAGTCTTACCGAGCATGACTTCCCAAGCCAAAAACAAAGCAAGATAGAGAGAGAGGAGAGAGTCATGATTCGGTGTCGTGGGTTTTGTATATTAAATTGAGATATTTTTGTCATTTAAATTTATAGATATTTTATTAAATTATATTAAAAAAATAAAGATTAATGGGTCAATCTACGTACGTCAAAGTTCAAAAAGTAATTCAAAGTGTAATTGATAATTAAAATCAAAATATATCCTTCACATAAATCGGGTAAAGCTTAAACTTTCACCCGTAGACATGACCTTGTGTTAAGCTTAAGCTTGTTGATAATGCGTAATTTTTTATTTTTTTATCTGTAATAATATGTTAAGATATACATTGTCATGTCATTAATGTATAAAATTGTTGTGTATTTTACACAACCCACATTAGCATCTTTCATTTTTCTCCCCCTTTCAAATTCCATTAAGGAATCAACTTTATATTAAGTAAGTTTGTAAAAGAAATGTGAAATCATTGCATGACACGTAATTGATTGTTACTGGCACATATATTTTTACATAAAAAATATAAAATAATGGCTGGAGTTAAAGATAGTAGTACAAAATTTTTGTATAAATATATTGTGACAAATCAAATTTACACAATATATATATATATATATATATATACACAACCGTTAAGATGCTACGAGGGTTAACAGAGACGCCACATCCTTTTCGTGCTCTCTGTTTTATTGCCGAAACCAATAACTTGGTTGTTGATATGAAAGTGAAAGAGGCGCTCACTTTGACCCACAGCTAAAAAGAGAACAGAGAAGGAGAAACAAGACTTGCAGTCAAGTGTTGCAAGTTTGCATCGCCATACATACAACTTTGACCCACGGCTCAAAAAGAAAACAGAGAAGGAGAAACAAGACTTGCAGTTAGGTGTTGCGAGCATGCATGGCCATACATATATACATACATATTTATATTCATTACAGAGCATGACTTCTCAAGCCAAAAAAAAAAAAAAAAACCAAGAGAGAGAGAGAGAGAGTAGAGTCATGATTTGGTGCTTTTTTTTTTTTAATTATATATATATATATATATATATATAATAGGGGTATTTTTGTCATTTAAATTTATAGATATTTTTCATTAAATTGTATTTTTAAAAAAATGAGGTTAAATAGGTCAAACCACATGTATCAGAGTCCAAAAAGTAATTTGGGGTATAATTGAAAATTAAAACCAAAATATTCATCAAGTTTTGATCTAACCCGAAGGAGACTTTGTAATATCCTTCCGTCCCTTTTTAATTGACATAGGAAATTGATAAGATATCATTACCCTACACAATTTATAGTAAACTACAATAACACTAATAATAAACCTTAAAAAAAATTATATTTAATAAAATTATATTACCAAACGACTAACATGACTAAACTATACTTTTTTGGACATTGTCTTGGAAATACGTGGAGAGATTTACATATTATTGTTAAGGGTTAACAGAAATAACACATCCTTTTCGTGCTCTCTGTATTATTGCCAGAACCAAAAACTTTGTTGTTGTTGTTAATATGAAAGTGAAAGACGCGCCCACCTTGACCGGCCCACACAGCTCAAAAGGAAAACAGAGGAGGAGAAGCAAGACTTGCAGTTAAGAGTTGCAAGCATGCGCGCGCACACACACACGCACAAAGTTACTAAATCTGTTTTATGCGCAACCAAGCCAAGTAGGTCAGGTAGTAGTTTCCAAGGTTCAATCCTTTGTTTTCTAGTGTAAAAAAATATAGATAAAAATATGGCTTTATCTTACTTTTGTCCTCTTTCTTGTTTAGTGCGGTTGTGTGTACATGAGGATCATAAAATTTTATTCTATACTATATTACAGTCCAACAATATATAGTATATATATAGCAAAGTAATGTTACCACAACAAAAGAATCCAAAATTCAATCATTAATATACCATTACATTAATTTCAACTCACCTAACGTATTAATTTGTCCAAATATATAACTCCCTTGTATTACTACTCATATTGACATTAGTTAGATTAATTGGCTCAGCGGTATCACTTTTTTTTTTTACAACGAGATCAGGAGTTTAAACCTTAGGAGGTAGAGTGTTAAATTGCCTTAACTTTAAAAAAAAAAAATAATTAATAAATAAATAAATAAATATTGACATCACTTAATTTCCTTCTTGAGTCCACCTTTTCTGTGACTTTGAAAGTGAGCCAACAAATTATCCACGTACTTGTCTTGTTTATCCCTGTCGCCAAACAATCCTCTCATCTCCTTGACCTTGTCCCTGTATATCTTCCCTCCCTCCTCTACCATCACCAACCTCAGTGACTCAGCCACTGAGTCACTCGTAAACGACCCGTCTCGCTCGTCTCGCGGTATGGAGTAACCCATCTTCTTCTCTTCCAAAACCCTAGCATTCAACCCTTGATCCGCCAAACACGTCAGCAGTATAAGGGCTCTCGCAAACTGTATTGCCTCCACCACGGAACTCCAACCCGAGTGAGTCAAGAACCCTCCCACCGAGTCATGACTCAGTATCTTGAGTTGAGGCACCCAACTCGTCCTCACCAATCCACGTCCTCTGGTTCTCTCCTCAAACCCTTCGGGCAACTCAATCACCTCCGTGTCGGCCATCCCACGCTGCTTCCTTAGAGCCCAAAAGAACGGTAACTCGGATAGCTCTAGCCCTAGAGCTATCTCAGTGAGTTCAGCTTGACTCGGTTTCGCCTCGCTCCCAAATGCAACATAAACCACTGACCCTTTACTCTGCTTATTAAGCCACGCTTTCATTTCCCTCCATGCATCGTCCTCCTCGTCGTCATGATACGCTACCGGAGGTAGTTGACCCACCGGTATAACCGGCTTTGGCCGGTGAATATCTCCGAGAAGTGTCAACCATTCCGGTTCAAACTCATAACAGCTTCTCATAGTTATCACATCACACCCATCAATGCCCGCTCCCAAGCGATACACAGCCGGAACATTATCAACCAGTGCTTCCACCTCGTCAAAAATTCGCAAAATCTCGAAGAGTCTAAATGCAACCGTTGATTTGAACGGAAACCAGTTGGGTGGGACGGTGAATTCCTCCGGCTTCGTCCGATATTCGTTCTGAGGGTCCATCAAAACTGAAGCTGGTCCGGCATAGCCTAAAGCAGACGCAATGAAAACACAAAACAAACAACTTAAAATATTGAGCTTAGCAGCAATTGGACCTAACCAATATGCTATAAAGTCATAGATAACGCAATCAGGAGCAGAAGCTTCTAGAAAACTGTTCATGGGTTGTTGGAGGAGATCATAGGCCATCTTGAGGTACTTGACCTTGTGGTAAGGTAGGTCGGAGGTGGACTCTGCATTTTCGGGGAGGTTTTGGACCTGGGGTAGGGGAAGTTTTACAAATTTGATGAGATGAGCTAAGTCTGGAGGAAGTTTTGGGAAGCGATCGATGTTTCGGGGAGTGGATACAAAGGAGATTTTGTGACCCTTTTGGGCTATGAGCTTTGAGAGCTCGAGGAAGGGAAGCATGTGACCGAAGGCTAACCATGGGAACATAACTATGTGCAGCTGCTTACCAGTTTCGGCCATGGTTGAAGAAGGTATATATGGACTAGAACTTGGAGCTAGGTCTATATATAATATAAATATATATAGACGAAGATGATCAAGCGTGTAAACCCTAATTATGCTATTATAAAGAACGTCATCTTTTAATGCAATTGTTTTGAGTCAAAGTTGCAGGGTTAATTGTGTTTTGAGTCGCTGGCATCAAGCTTTTCAGAGGAGAGGCCGAGGGAGAGTACAATTTTTTTTAAAGGTGTACAAATAATAAATTCGTGAATCTAATTCGTTGGTTCGATTTGATTTTTAAGTCTCGTATTTTGGTAATGGTTTAAAAATTTAATAATCCTACCCATTCGGTTAACATATTAAGTATTAAAAAAACCAAACCTATCCATAAATGGATCCGTGAGCAATTCGTGGATAATTTGTCACATGGGCACATGGGCATGGGCTTCTTTGTTTTTTAATAGGAAATGTCACATGGGCATGGTGTCACGGGCCTAGAGATTTGGCGCAGCGGCACGGCCCGTGCGGCACCAAGGCGTTGCTTCAGCTCGCGCAAGCGCCCTGGTCGGGAGCTGGAGCCGTTCCCCTGACGAGGCCATGGCAGGCCGAAACCAGTCAGCATGTATCCTTGGGAGGGCAGGTCGTGGTCATTTGTCACGGGCCTAGAGATTTGGCGCAGCGGCACGGCCCGTGCGGCACCAAGGCGTTGCTTCAGCTCGCGCAAGCGCCCTGGTCAGCCACCACGACCTGCCCTCCCAAGGATACATGCTGACTGGTTTCGGCCTGCCATGGCCTCGTCAGGGGAACGGCTCCAACTCCCGACCAGTTTGTGCAGGGATGGCCAACTCCCTTCTTCATAGTCAAGTCCAAGACTAGCGACAAGCACCTCGAACTGAACCGAGTCGACCTGCCTGAACTCTGAAGAGGTACCATCCTGTGGTCCTGCACGCCCCTTCCCTGGAACCATTCCCAGTCAATGAATGTTCTTAGCCAACCAGCATGCGTATCTTCTATGCTCATGGCGTCGTTAGGAATCGGATCGTGACATTCTCCCCCACCCAAATCCTGCGACGCCCTCGTCGCAGTGCGGCGCTGACTCCGCTGCGTCCAACATTCCAAAGCCTGTCTCCTCCAAGTGGTATGCTCGCCTGCCCACCATCACTTCCTTGTACAACCCCTGGCTGCACTCGCCCAATGATAGGGTTTCGGGCTAAAGGGACGCCCACTTCTTCGGGACGCAACCCCACGTTATGCCGCCTCCGCGACACCCCGAGCAAACAAGCGCCCTCCGGCTGACTTGATACCTGCCCTTCACAACGGTTTGCACGCCTCTTGAACTTGTAAGAACTTTGGTGCGCGCGGCCCTCCGGCCATCCGATGCGCGCGGCCCTCCGGCTTAAAGGACGCATCTTCATGGGGAGATGGAGGCTCTCCTCCAACAGCATTGATTGCCCACCGACGCTCTAGTGCACCGTCTTCATTCTCAAGACCCCCGGATCGACAAGGGGGCACACCTTTGTGCTTTTCCCCAAGTCCTGCTCTGATACCATTTGTCACGGGCCTAGAGATTTGGCGCAGCGGCACGGCCCGTGCTGCACCAAGGCGTTGCTTCAGCTCGCGCAAGCGCCCTGGTCAGCCACCACGACCTGCCCTCCCAAGGATACATGCTGACTGGTTTCGGCCTGCCATGGCCTCGTCAGGGGAACGGCTCCAGCTCCCGACCAGTTTGTGCAGGGATGGCCAACTCCCTTCTTCATAGTCAAGTCCAAGACTAGCGACAAGCACCTCGAACTGAACCGAGTCGACCTGCCTGAACTCTGAAGAGGTACCATCCTGTGGTCCTGCACGCCCCTTCCCTGGAACCATTCCCAGTCAATGAATGTTCTTAGCCAACTAGCATGCGTATCTTCTATGCTCATGGCGTCGTTAGGAATCGGATCGTGACAATGGGCTCAAAAGGAGACAAAAGAGTATGAAAAAGCCTGGGGGAGAAAACAAAGCCACGTGAGTTAGGCTTCTTTGTTTTTCTGAAACGAGCGTCAATGTCTTCAACAGCAGATGCCAATGCTAGAGCTGCCACACACAGGAGGTCAGTGATCGAACCTTCTCGTCTTTCTTATTATCCTCCGTTAACCTAGTGTTGTAGTTGTGAGGCTACTGTTGTATTTCAATTTGGTGCCTTGGGTGGGTCCGAAGGGCTGCCGCAGGGAGTTCTGGGTCAAAAAAAAAAGAAAAAAAAGAAAAAAAAAAACAGATGCCCCTGCTAGCTTGACAAAGTTACGGCAAGACTGTGTCGCGATCAATTGATTCAGTTCCAGACTTCATTCCACACTTCAAGTCTTCTACGGCTTCGAACTTCAAAGCCCTCACTCCTCAGATCTTCTCAGTTCTCAAATCACTCAACAAAGGTATGTTTTTTAACTCCTTTTTTTTTTTTTTTTTTTTTTTTCGGAGTAATATGATGATTTGAAATTTGGGGTTTAATTTGGGCAAAACTTTTTTTTTATTCTGTTTCTGTTCTTGTTCTGCTTCTATAATTTCTATTCTGATTTCTATTGGAAATTTTTCTTTGTTATGCTTCTGTTCTGAATCTTCTGTTTTTTTTTGTTTACCTGTCTAACTGTCTTAGTTGTTAACTCAAACACAAACACATATTTTTCTACCAAAACTCAAACCCGTGACGTAACCGTTAGACCACTAGTCCATTGGTTCTTCTAGTTAGCTTAGTAGTTAGTATTTAGTAATTAGTACTAGTGTACTACTACCTTAGTAGTTAGTAGTTAGACTCTTTTTACATTCTGATTTTCCAAGCATGTGTGTTCTGTTCTGTTTCAATTTTTTGAGTGCTGAATCTGCTGATGAATGATCAATGATGAATCATTATGATTCAGTAACTTGAAGTCTTTCACTCTTGAATCATTATCATTCAGGAACTTGAATTATTTGAATAATGAAGATTGCAATAGATGTCATCAACTGCCTGTTCAATTACTGTCAAGATTGTGCCATTTGGTTCATTCTTCAATCCAGGGATCTGAGATGTAGGTGTATCAGAAACATTGCGTGAGAAACTACTCGTTCGAGTCTTAGTAGCAGCCATGGCTGTGTGTGTCTTCAGTCTTCCTATAAGAAGTAAAATGTAAATAAATAACTGTAGTTTAATATAACTTTATTGAAGGGGAAGCAGATGCCTATCCACAACTTGCCTGTGGACTAAAATAATACTATTAGAGATGAATCACCTCATTTATTATGAACAAAATAATAAAACAGATCTTGGTATTCTAATTTATTATTACAATCTTTTTTGAGGAGGCGGTTGTTGCAAACAATGAGCCTTACATGGTTTTAACATATATTTGTTTATTCTCTGACAAGAAATGTTACAGAATTGTACCTATTGTAATGGAAAATCAACATAATTTATAATAATTAAAATCCTAAATTTTTTATAATTTTGAATACTAGAAGTTATCTCAATTAGTCGACAAATTTGTCCCGCATCTATTGTCATGAAAATAATAATAAAAATCCTAAAAATTTTATATGTTTGAATACTAGAAGTTTTATCTCAATTAGTCAATTAGTTGACTGTTTTGTCCCGCTGGTCCACTAGTCAAGTCTGTTAGTCGTACCAAGGACTGTAGTCCAATGACATCTCCTCTACCTGTCAAAGTGGAAGGTGAGGGTTTAAATCCCATTACGGGTAAATGGGTGTGAGTTTCTTGCCAAGGAAAAAGTCTGTGGGTCGTATTTCGTAATGCCTAAAAGCACAGTACATCTCTCCATGTGAGCTTGAACACCAAATTTACCGCCTAAAGTCTGTGGCTCATCGTTGTCCCTGTAAATACTGAGCATTGAGAACTTGAGAGTTGCGAACAGTGGGATATTTCTGATAGATTTTTTTATTTATTTTATTGGCTTGTGTGCATATGCATTCATCGAGAGGAATACTTACATGTCGAATTTTGTCTTTCAGGCCTTTTACCCTCCCTGCAGTAGTAATTTAGGCCACACCTTAACTGAATTTACCTTGTTTGGTTATGCATGATTATCCACTCCAAGTTGTTGGGATTAGGCTTATTAGTTGAGCGTATGTATGATTGATTATTCACGATTTGAAATTTACTTCATATCGGAAGATTTTTTTTTTGTTGATATTTTCTATTCTTCAATTCATGGATCAAATATTTATGAAAAGATCCATGGTTAATAGCATGTAGGACTTATGCATCTGGTGCTTTATGGTTAGGTTTCTTTTGGAATTCTGTAATATACAAATGATTGTTTTATAGTATATAAATGATCATAACATTGATCCTCGCCAACTTGATGTCTTTGAAATTCTTTTCTAAAAAGTTAAATCAAATTTGATTTGTAACATCTTTTTAATACGTATTAGTATTCACAGTGTTCTCTGTCGGTAACATATAGGTTTTAATTGATCTTGTAGAGAATAATTAGTGATATGAGTTCAAATTATAATTGGGTGATTTGAGTTAGCTGCCATATGATGTTTGGGAATTGCGCAAGGGCTTTGAGTTCCATTTAGCAGCTGTTCCAAAAATGGAACCTTGAGAAAATTTCAACTACATATCCCTTCTGATGGCACTAATATTGATTGATTTTTAAGCAACACATAGACTTTTATCAATCTACATATTTCAGAGGACACACTGTTTGTTTATCCCTTTAATTGATGTCCTCAAATGAAGAATCATATGACTGAAGAAACTGTACTTTTTCGATACAACACGTTTTTTCCTATTATTATTATATATATTTTTTGGGGTGTTGTAATGCCTATAAATACTGAGCATTGAGAACTTGGAAGTTGGAAACAGTGGGATATTTCTGATAGAATTTTTTTATTGTCCTGTGTGCGGATGCATGTGTTGAGAGGAATACTTACATATTGAATTGTGACGTTCGGTCCTTTTACAGTTTTACCCCTCCCTGCACTAGTAATTTAGGCCACCCCTTATCTGAATTTACCTTGTTTGGTTATGTATGATTATAGCTGCTCCAAGCTTTTGGGATTAGGTTTATTAGTTGAGTGTGTTTATGCTTATTCATGATTTGAAATTTAATTAATATCGGAAGTTTTTTTTGTTTGGTTAATAGCATGTGGGGGGTTTGTGCATCTGGTGCTTTATGCATGTGCATAAGCTGCATATTTTTGTGTGGTTGTTTTACTGGCAATTAAGGCTTGTGCTTTGAGGTCTTGTTTAGTGCATGCTTTAGATAAATCATTTTTAAATTCTTGTGATGTAAATTCGAAGTATGTGAACAAACATTAAGGAAAAATTTAGTTCTAAATACTGGACATATTTTTCTACACTTCAATGTTTTCTTGATTTTCACTTACTTTTGTACTCATTTCCCTTGTATGCATGAGAATGGTAATCTTTTAGGGGGCATTTCACTTTTGTAGTATAATTATTTTTGCATTAAATATTCTCAGGGGTGCAAGGGGGAGTTCACATGGGGCTATCTGAGTTATTTTTGATCAATCGCTAAATTTATGTTGCTAAGATTTCATTTTTTCTAAAAATAATCAGGATTGAAGAGTGAGGAGGCATCTTTTCATTGCTCCAATGAAGCATATTGTGAAGATTATGACATTGCTGGTGGCAATATCTGCCTTTTGGATTGGCCTCTTGCAGACATCAATTATTTCGCATAGCCATGCTTGGTTGGTGAGTTCCTTCCTCTAGCTTTTACATCATTTATATATTTACAATTTGTTTCTTATTTTATAGCTTACCGGTGTTACCTTCTTTTTCCCAGCTTCCTCTTCACTTTATTGTGTCATTAGGATGCTATGGCCTGTTGATGGTTGGAGTTGGTTTGATGCGATTTCCAACTTGTCCCCACGAGGCAGTGCTGTTGCAGCAGGTATTTCACTTTACCATTTTCTGTTCACCTCAATGTGCAAGTTTTCATGCTCATTCTGATCTAAAAATGGAGCATTTGCCGACATTTACCCACTGCACCAACTCAACCAAATTGGGCTAGATTATCATTTACTTACTATCCCTGTATTTTCACCGTGATATATACTGTCAAATCAAAAAATTTAGTTTTCTATGTATATAATTGTGGTTGAATTCTCATTCATTTGATGATAATTTAATTTCGTTGAATGATTTATGGATGCATAATTGATAGCTTTGTTTTGTAGGACATTATTGAGGCCAAGGAATTTCTAAAGCAAGGAGGGGTTGATGTGGGTTCTTATTGATCTGATTAGCAAAGGTTTTTTTTTTAGGTGAGTGTTCCCAAAGTGTCCATCTATTATGAGACGGATGGAGTAGTTGAAGTTACTGAGCATTTATTCAATCAATGAAATTTATATAAATTGTCAAGGCAAATGATGTGGTTAGAATTTTTCCTATCATTATATTCTTTATTGTTTTCTATGGAATTCTTGTTTATAGATTTTTTGGCAGTGTTTCCATATAACCAAAAGATCGATAATTTATAGTTTTTAGCTTTGATAAGCAGTTAGGCACTATAGTTTTCTTTTTATTTGTTATTGTTTCATGACTCACATCACGAGAATTTGCCGTGGCCATCAATCTATATGAAAACGAGACTTTATGTATGCAACCAGGTTGGTTTATTCCATGTATGCAAATCGGGTTTAAATTGGATCCAATTATGCATATACATTTTTGTCAACTGATTTAATTTTTATTCTTAATTTAACAGCATTGTGACGGCAAGATGGTCTTTACAACATTTTCAAAAAACATCAAAAGTTTTCTTGCTAAAATATAATAATAAGTCAAGGAATTACTTAAAAAATTTAGAAGTGAGGTTTCCTTACAATTAGTCCAAAAATTTATGTCTCAATGTGAAAATTGTTCCTGAAGAGCAACATTTTCCTTCAGAATTCGGATTTTTGTAAAAAAAAATTTAATGAAGATCATTTTTTGTCCCCTATACTTCATTGGATCCAAAAGTTACTTGCCGGTTGAACTTTTAGGCCAACCTTATGTCATGATGGTGGTCCAAGTCCAAGGCTTGATTCCATTGAGCTCCAATAGTCATGATGCCAATCAGGCCTATATATATATATATATATATATATATATATAACATATACACAAATATATATTTGTCGTATAAATAGAAGCAAAATAGACAGGAGGAACGAAGACTAGGGCAACCGAAGATGATCATACCGGTCCGTTGCTTCACTTTCGGAAAGGTACATCACTGTATTATAACTTTTTGTTCTCCGACAGATGATCTTTGTTTCTTCAATTGACTGAGAAACATTTTTATTACACATTTTTTTGTAATTGTTCTATATATGTAAGGTTGTTCTTCAAATGTTTGTTTCTCTTAGGTCATTGGAAACAAATGGGACACATATCTTAATTTTCTTCAAGCGGATTACACCAAAGGGTGAGAAACACTCACTCGCTTTCTTTTAGTTTCTTTTTACTTATATTTCATTAATTTTCTTGCAGTTCATCAAGATTCTTTAAGAATACACTTTATTGGCTGTCAATTGCTATAATTTGATGAATTAAAGCATGGTTTTCTAGATGGAAATTCATGTATACATTTGATGATGTCTGAGTGCCCATTCCAACTTTGCGATTATGTTACTTTATATCTAATTTTTTTATTGCTCATGTATATAGTACACCATTATCTCTCTCTCTACACACACATATATTGGTAAGATAAATTTACAAGAATCTACTTGCCATGAAACATTTTTTTTTTTTTTTGCTATAGACGAATGCTCACGACTCATGTTGACCTAATTGAGAAGCTCTTGAACTACAACATTACTCCCTCTCTCTATGTATATATGTTGCTTTGGATATTTTCTTCTTTATTATTTTATTTTTTGTGGGGTTGGGGAGTAGGAGGAGGAGCTCTTTTCTGGGAATTTTCTAGTGTCCACCATTAAGATCTAAAATTGTTTCATCTTTTCTTATATGGAAGGATGAGTGGCTACTTTTAAATGGATGCCATTTGGTGAACGGAAAATTATTTTGTACCTTGAGTTGTTATATGTGATTCTTAAGATCAGGACTGATACCGAAGATTAAAACAAGGTCATTTCACCAATTGTGATTTCTGTAATATTTAAGCATGCAGTTGTGTTTCATTTTTAACACTAATGTGAATAACATGGATTTTGGTCGATGGATGATAGTGGTGGAAAATTCACTGGAGAGAAACCACACAGTTGTACGCGGGTGAAAAAATCAGTTCTATATTTAAATTTATTTATTATTGAACTAACTTGGCCTTTTTTTGCAGCTCTGGAGAAATCTGAGGGCTGCTGAGAAGGCTTGTGGAATTCAAAAATCTGTTACCATGAAAATCCAGTAGTTTAAGTTTCTCTTTTTAGACTTCTATTAGGGTATTCGTGTTCGGAATATATGAAAAACAAGGAAGCAACGTGTTGTAATGTAACTGGTTGTTGTACGTGTTTGAGCTTATGAATAGTTTTCTTCTGTGTGGAATATCTCGACTAGATTGTGTGGAACCTCTCTACTAGGTCGAATACTTTTTTGAAGCTCATTTCGTTATTAGATATGGTTGGTATGGTAATTTTCTTAAAGAGGGACTCGTAGGCTTCACTGATGTTAAAGCAGAGCAGCTACTGTGAGCTAGCAATCGCCTGCTGGGACTCGTAGGCTTCACTGATGTTAAAGCAGAGCAGCTACCGCAAGCTAGCAATCGCCTGCTGGGAACTACTGGATCCTCCCAAAGCCGTGATGCTGAAAATTCATGTGATTTATAATGGTGGGTATTATTATAATTTTTACTATGAATTGTTACATACGGAAGCTAATTTATGTTGACCAAACTGTAAATGAATCCTTAGTGTGTGTATATATGAACTGTAAATAATCATTAATCCTAGTTGAATTGATGGTGTGTGACTTTAAGATTCTCAAACAAACATAGTTTGTTGTGATAAAATGATTTTTCTTGATTTGCTTTTCGTCTCATTCTTACAAGAAGCTTGTTGCCTTTTGTTTTGTATGGTATAATAATTGTTACATAGTTTGGAGAAAAAAGTTGATGTTATAATTATTTGTGTGTGTGTGTGTGGGTGTGTGTGTGTATATATATATATCATTAGGTTTTGGTGGCTAGCCGGGTGAAGTGATACAGTGCAAAAGACTCTGGAGGACGGGAGGAGTAACTGACCTTTTACTTCGTTCCTCGCGGAATAGGCGAAGGTCTTTGGAGATACTACTCTTAATTCGGTAGTTCGATTCTCAATGAAGACGAGACCCGCACTTAAATAATTTATGTGATTTCCGGATGGTTGTAAGCATTTAAAGTTCAAAAATCATTCGAGAAATTAAAATGGAGATCCTGGGTCGGTTTATTGTTCCTTATATAAAAAGAATAATGATAGAGCGTCCGTTAAGGACGGGTTTTATCCGAATCCTATGTAGCTATATCACTTGGACTCTTAATTAAGAAAAGAAAAACGCGCTGGTTAACATACTTATGCATCGCACAATCTCTCTCTCTTCGATTCTCGCTCATAATGATTCCCTCTCTCTAATAGTTTTGTCATCTTCTTCCATTCTTCCTTTGTCTTCAATTCTGGTGTGCTCTCTTTTTTCCTTCGATTTTACATTCTTCGTGCACATATTTATGCCCTGATCTTTTTTCTGAATATAAGATTTTAAGTCATCGACTCATAGTCCCTAATCTGAATTTTCATGAGTAGGCTTCTAATTTTTTGTGATTATTTCATGAACATAATTTTTGTGAATATTTTATTTTTTGAATTCATTTCTTTCCAATTAACACAAGTGATTTTTGTAGTAGCTTCGATTCTCTCCCCGATTCCTCACACTCTTCGTTTCCACCAACTTCCTGATTTTTCCATTCTATTCTCTCTCTTCAATTCGAGCTCTCTTTAAAATTATAAGTCACCATTTTCCTGGCTCTAATTTGGATATGTTTCTAAATTTTTGTGGATATATTTTTGAATTGTGATGGTTAATTCATGATATTTTAAATAAATTGTTGTTAGCCCTACTATTTTCGTGTAGTTATAATATCACATGTTCTCTCCACTTCTCCTTCATAGTTAAATATGAGATGAGAACTTGACAATAAACAAATACCCCTCCCTTCCATGTTTAATCATAAAGATTTTTCATTCAAAAAGACATCCAATTGGTTTTAGTTAATTTTTAGCCACCAAGTTCCAATGTTTGTTTTTTATTGTTCTTTCGAAATTGATATCTTGAAATTTATTTCTCGCCCGCACTCAATATGAAGTAGGCATGACGTGTAAGAATTTAAAAAAAATATTTTTATAGTCTTAAGGAGGCCAAATGTTTTCCTGAAATCTTGAAATGTTTTTTATTGTTCTCTCCAAATTACACTTATTTTATTTTATTTATTTACAATATTTTGTTTAGGAGAGGGTAACGGTGATAGAGAGGAAAGATAAAGTAATACGAGAGATGAGATAGAAAATTAATTTTTTTTAGATTTTATAATATATTTTGTATTATAAAAATATATTACATATAAGGATATAATTGATTTTTTATAATCTTAAGAGAGGTCAGAGTAATAACCTCAAACGCTCCACCTATGTGAGATTTGTGCAAAGCTCAGGAGAGGCAAGTGTAATTTACCCTAAAAAATACATGCAATTCCTAAATGTTCATTTAATCACTTAAAAATCAATTTCCTTTGGAGAATTATTTATCATGATTAAATAAATTCAATATTTATGAATGTCACAAAATCATAAGTATTATAATTTATGAAATATTGCAATTATGTCTATCATTAAAATTAATATCCATCTACCATTATGGTTATGCCACTTTTGCAACTACCAACATTTACATAATATAAATATTAAATTAGCTAGTAAGTAATTCACTATTAATTATGTCTACTACAAAAATTAATATACATCAATTATTACGATTGGGCCACTTTAGCAGCTACCAACTCTCACATAATATGAATATTAAATTAACTAGTATTTAATTCATCATTAAGTTACCCATTTAACATTACACACACATACACATACTTGTCAATTGAAGTTTAAGTAACTTCGATCACATAAACATAATAGTCTGAAATTTCAAATAAAATATCCTTTTATTTTATATACCTAATAAAACATATTATTTTATTTTCGGACTTGGAGATCATAATTGAATAAATCTAAATTTGATTCTCCATCATGTATGTATGTTTGAGTATAAAATTATAATTTATTAAGTAGTTATACTTGCATCGAATACTTGCCGTAAATTGCCTAACCGAATAATTATTAATTGGCTATTTATACCAAATACAACTAAGTGGAAGGCCCCACTTCCTCATTTGTTGCATAATTGACCAATTAAAAGAATATGTCTAGCAATTTACTGCAATTATTCAGTACAAGAATCATTTTCCTAATTTATTTACATGTCCACTAAAGTCAAATTTTAATTTAGAACCACATATACTTCTAAATATTCAAAAATTAAATCAATACACATATTTTGTGTATTTAATACTTTATTAATTTTTAGATAAAAAATAATCTTTGTAATCATTAGACAACTATTGACATCATCCTGAATATAAATAGAAACTATTACTTCCAATTACATGTATTATGCACGGAAAAAACCTTGCCTCGGGTTGTATAAGTAAGAATTTCCTACTTATGCTAACGTGGACCACTAAATGTATGACACATGTCAAAAAAGTTTTGCCTATTTGGATCTTTTAACGGGTCATCCAAACTTAAAAATACAACAATACTCTTATATCACCAAACCCGAAAACATTTCCCCTAATTCACCACCACCACTGTCGACACTCCACCATACCCAGAGAGGACACGAATTTTAGAGAAAGAAACACTGAAGATCTCTTCAACCATCATCATCTAGACCCATTCCACATGAAAATGGATCACACTCGTCGATTCTAAGTCACCACCAAGAACCCTTCTCTCTCCTTCCAATCACTGAAATCGTGTTATTCCAAGATGACAGCAGTGACGATGACTTAGTGAACCACACTTCCTCCGACGTTGATGAAATATAGAACCGAGGGATTAGTGGTGTTGGTGGTTTGCTGGAATTTTCTGTGACTTAGAGAAAGAAAGAGAGTGCACAAAGCCGTGGATGACCCATAAAAATATCCGAATGTTTTTAGGCAATTTTTTTTTATATGTGTCATGCTATTAGTAGTCCATGTCAGCATAAGTAGGAAATTTCTACTTATGTAGCCTGAGGTAAGCTTTTTCCTTATGCACGAAAATCAAGTGTCATGCTGTTAGTAGTCCATGTCAGCATAAGTAGGAAATTTCTACTTATGCAGCCTGAGGTAAGTGTTTTTCTTATGCACGAAAATCAAGAATCAATCACATGCATGATTCATCTTACTTGCTTATATCCATTCATGAAGCATAATCCAAAGCCAGCATGAACCCAATAGCAATATGTGTATGTATGGCAATACCATAGAACCAATCAAAATACACGTGTCTATATATATAATGATTTCAAAAGAAAAAAAAATTATATAATTATATAATTTTATATTATATTTGCATATATAATTTATGCAACATTAATGGAAAATAATGAGTTTCCTAAACCATAAGGTCTAATATCAAATATTAATTATAATTATTCGTACCAAACATTAATCACAAATAAACATGCTATAATATTTATACGAGAACATTAAACGCAAATCATAATCCCAGAAAAT